GAAAGCTGATTATTTTGAAGCTGTTTAGCAGCTTGGTCTAAAAGTGTTAACAGACATACAGTATAAGCCTGATAGGACTGATGTTTCAAAGGTTAAAAGAAACGCAACATTTACATTTGTATATCAGTGACTTACTCAAGCATGTGTTGACTTGAATTTGTGTAGAACATTTGGTTTTACTTGCATGCCCCCAAGGTAAATGAAGACTCCAACAAACACAGTGAAAGTCTTGATGAAACTTAAAGAATATAGCAAAAAGAATGCTGTTTAACAACAGCAAAACTACATCAAATCATCCGTTTACAAACTCTCTGGTGCAGTATGACCTGCGAGTACTGTTTATGCACAAGTCTATTAAATAATAAAGTTTAAGCAAATATGAATTTGTTTCAGAAGTAATGAGCATATCATTGGATGAATAAGATATCGACTATAATGGATGAGGTGTGTGAGAGTTTATCAACTGATTTGTTGTCATAGTTTTTCTGTTGTAAAACGCTGGCCCAATGTATTTGAATCATTAGGTTTTTGGATTTTCTTTTGGATCTTTCACTATAGATGCATGTGAGAAAAACACAGTTTTCAACATGAATTCAGGGTAACACGCTGTCGCTGAGGCATTGATAAAAGTCATATTGCCTCAAACTACTGTGTGTGTGTGTGTGTGTGTGTGTGTGTGTGTGTGTGTGTGTGTGTGTGTGTGTGTGTGTGTGTGTGTGTGTGTGTGTGTGTGTGTGTGTGTGTGTGTGTGTGTGTGTGTGTGTGTGTGTGTGTGTGTGTGTGTGTGTGTGTGTGTGCTGCCAAACAGAACCATGGGATCATAAAATCATGTGATGTTGTTAGATGAAGTGATTATCCAAACACAGCGATAGTTAGGAGAGTTTCACAAAGATTTCTGGGTCCTAGAAACAAACCATAATAGAAACATAAACCCGGCGGTGACATTTAAGTGCAACTTACTTGCAGAAACTTCCCCGTGCACATGGTGAACATGAAGTGGAGCTGTGCTGCGAGGAAAAGAAACCTGAAAGCAGTAGGCAGAAAATAAAATAACTTTCAAATCTTTGAAGATGTCAAACTATGTTGAGATACAGATACTCTAATCAGTTGCAAGCTAATGTTCATTTATAATTTACTTGACATTTAACATAAACAAATCTAATTTTTGACCACAAGCATACTGTTGGTTTTGTCTGAAAGCATATCAATAGTTAATGATTTACAACAGTGCAATGATTTTTTTGTATTCAGCTAAATAAACACACCTGCTGGACAACTTGTGCAACTGTCTCCACCAGTGATATTGTTGAAGGATCCAGTAGGGCAGGGATTACACAAAGGACTTCCAGTGAAACTGTGCAGTAGTGCAAAAAACACAATACATTGAACAGTGAACTAGATGGTAAAGCCAATAAAATCCATTAGAAGTCAAAGTAAATGTAGAATTTGTGTCATACTTTGTGTAGAAGCCCCGGTTGCAGGGCAGACACTGCTGCTGTCCTGCTAGCGGCTGATAGAAACCTCTGTTGCATGGCAGGCAGGCACCAGGAAATAGACACAGCCCGGGGTCAGCACAGCATGCACACAGCAGGGTGTCTGGGGAGGGATAGGGAAGCATTTTCTTAACCACGACTTTACTGTTTACATCTTAAAATGGTGGCTTCATGTCAGATGACACGGTCGTTGACTCACTGTTGTCGTACTGCGATCCCGGTGCACAAGGCTCACAAGTAGAAGTGTTGTACGCAAAGCAGCCTGGGGTCGTGGTGAGAATCACGGGAGTTACAGTCAGATCAGTCACATTCTCCATGAAAGTGGTGTTCATCACTGCAGGAGCTAGTGTGGTCTGGCTCACCACCATGCCTGGAGGAGAAGGACACTGTCTTTCAATTCTGACTTCTGGTAGTGGACTGAAGTAGGAGTATTAATAAATAAAATCAATCATGACTGGTTTTTAGGTGCCTAATATGGTGCTATATCAGGCCTGGTTTAAATCCAGCTATTTGTCACAACTTGTACCCAATCTTGCTTTTTCGACATGATTTGTGTCATCACTCTACTGACACAAAAGCCATAAAATGCACACAGAAAACTTGAAAAAAAAGTTATGTCTGTCATAAAAACAATACAATTGAATTTTTGATTTGACCTGAAGTGGACATGTTGCAAAGGTCATGCAAATGTCTCTTGGGCTTTTGGAGTATATCTGTTCCTGAATGTTTAATACAACAATAGAAGCAAAAACTAAGTACGTTTTAAAAAGGATTAACAGGGCTAACCTGAGACTTTTTGGGCCTATGGTTTATTGGCATTTATTTATTTAAAGGTCCCATGTCATGGGTATTTCTACTGATCATAATTCCATTGTTGAGGTATACTAGAATAGATTTACATTGTTCAATGTTCCAAAATCACATTGGTTTTCTCATACAGCATCTCTGTATGTGTATTCACTCTCTGTCCTACACGCCTTGTTGGAGCTCCTGCCCCCCCCTCCCTATGAGCCCACTGTGCTCTGATGTGTGTTTATGTGTTACAATGGTGTTTGTTAGCAACCAGAAAATGACACCAGCATTCTCACAAACAGATGAGAATGCTGCGTAGGGTCTGGGTGCTGTGTTGGCAGGGACGTTGCGGGGCTCGCTGCTCCGCCCTTTGAGGCTCGAGGAGCAGACAGTGTGAGCTGTATTACTGGTGTCGTTTCCTGGTTGCGGCGTGGGGTCGTTGAGACAGCGAGACACCGCTCACAGCCAGGCTGTGAGTGTGTGGCGAACTGTGAGTGGAGATCCACGGAGCCGCGGCTGAGAAAAGATAAGGCTGAGTGAGTGTGTGTGCCGGCGAAACTCCGCGGAGTACCGCGGCTGAAAAAATATAAGGCTGAGTGAGTGTGTGTGTGTGAGGAGCTCCACAGATTGGTCCATTTGGACCTGGGTATCGTTACGTCACTATACTCAGGAAGAAAAAAATGGAAAAATAAAAATCTCCAAAGAGGCGTTCTGGGGCAGCATAGACAGGTATTTTCTGTGTTAGAGTTTTACTCGCTACAGGGTGTACTTTTACATGCAGAAAAAGCTGCATAACACACAAGGGGACAGGTCATAACCGGAAAAGCATGACATGGGACCTTTAAAAAATACATAATCAACCACATTATAAGTAATTAATCTGATCTCTCCTTTCCAATCTCTGCCTTCCAGGTTTCACAGGTACACTGGCTTGCTGTATTTGTGATTTTTCAGCTCACATCTTAGCACACTGAAAAATAAAAATGCAGAATACCAAAGTAGATGTTCTGCTGTTGTAGTGTCAAGTAGAAATTTCTGTAAAAAGGTAGTCTTGGAGAATTTTAAATTGAATGTATTTACATTTTCAGCCATTTACAGTAGTGCTCTTAGTTTTAAAGAATGAAGTATTAAGTATTCAATCATCTCCCTCATTCTCAGACATGCATTGAATATGAATCCAGCCTCTGGAACTAAACAAAAAAAGATGCAGCAGGGTGGTTCTCCCGGTATAAAAGAGTTATATCGTTATGTTATCGTGATATCTTAAATCACTCCACAACATATATATACCATTGATATTCCTTGGCTTTAACCACTGAGAAAGTGAGAGCAACAGGTATAACGACTTTAGTAAAACAGAGCCCATATTGTGTTACTAATTACATTAGCCATGTGCTTAAGTGCTTTCTTCAATATGAGCCATCCTCCTCATGAAATGCAATTATTCAGAAATGGGGTCATGTGATTTCTCTGGTTTTCTGGGTTGGCAACATTTCTCTCTCAAACTTTAAGACACAATCCTTTGTTATACTAACAGAAAGTTATATTCTTAAGTATTTAGCAACATCATATTCAAATCTTTGTAAAACTAGTCTCTTTCAGACTATTATTGTCATACCACATGATACTTAGTTTTAATATAACAGTTATTAAGGGACCAAAGCAACACAGTAGGCTACATTATTCTGTGGTCATTCTTCATGAGGAGAACGTTTGTTGTGAAAGGATTTCCAGCTAATCAACTTTTATTTTAGAAAGATGTGTCCCACTTTTCACATTTAGCTGTTGTGACTGCATGACATTTGTATTCAATGTATAGTTATGTTATGCTTTGATTGCTTTAAAACAAGTCTTTAATAATCTTACTTAAACATAATATGCAATTTCAGTTTTGATCAGTGAGTTTACACTCTCAATAATGATTATTTAGTAGACCTATATCGTTCCTACTGTGTAGCAGCATTACAGCAGTTATGGTCGGTTACGAGTCAGGCTCACCAATGAAACAAGCGGCGCATATGGCAGGCAGAAGTCCCCGGCCGTCCATCCTCCAGATAATATCGAGTATATCTCCAAACAATGTCAGGACGCTACAGCATCTCTGACAAGTGTCCCGCGAGCTGCCTTTGTTTTTACAGAAGACGTCAGTGACGCTCGCTCGCAGCGGGATCAGTCCTCTCATCAGTGTCATATGACAAAATACACATCATGTGATTTTGCTTTACAGGGAAAAAACTGGGAAAAATGGGCCAGATTCAGACAGATCTCCTGATGTTACACGGAGCAGCCACCAGGGGCGCCTGTTGTGTGATTAAAATCAAATGTGTGGCAAAGTACAGTATATTCTGTATAATTACAATCTATTAGTAAACCGTTACACAGACGATACATACATAAAAAAGATTTAAACAAATATGCAGTTTTGATTTCATATATTCATGATCTATTTCTGCTTTTCAATGGGAGGGATTCTGGCATGATGATGACTAATAATGAGTACAAAAATGTACAGTAACTTGTTGCCAAAACAGACACCCATCAAAAACAACACACAACTTTTTAGGGAACGGACATTTTCTTTGTAAGTCGTGAGTTGAAGGTCCACTTCCCTTTTTAGGCCACATACAGGTGGAATCTACTACGGGGAAACATTGGTGCTATTTATTGTACACCTCAAATAACATCATTTCTGGAAATAAATCATAATGGCACTCAAACATTTCCACAGCAATTTTAATTTGAAATGTGTCAAAGAATAGACAAAAAAAATCCTCCCACACGTTTCTTGCAGCAACTGATGATCTCTCTGGTCTAAAAAAGAACATTCACAGGCCTATGCATATTTATGTCTTGAGCGTTTCTGTCTGAGAAACAACAGAAGGAGCGTCCTTCTGGATGTGACGCTCGAAGCTCAGCTCCAATTCCTCCCAGCTTGTATCAGTCAGGCTTTCCTGGCAGTAAAAGAAAGAGAGAGAGACGAATATCATTTACTGCTGCTGCCATGTGAAATCGCAACACTAACAAAAACAGACAACATACTGAGAGAAGTCAGTTCCTCTTTGTTCTGGATTTCACACTCACTTTGTTGTGTGTCCCTGTGTTTCTGACAGTGTGTGCTGCTGTCGGCTCAGAGGGTTTGGCCTTCTTGCTTTGAGTTTGTTTCAGTCTTTGGCGCTCTTGCTGTTTCTCTTCAAGTTTCTTCTGCAGAGCCAAAACTGTCTCATCATGAGTCATCGCCTGCCGATAAAATGGCCTGGATTTCCTCTCCTCTTTCCTGCAACATGCCAGAACACCTCATGACTGTGTGGGGGATATTTCAGTGTTTGTGTATGTCTGCTTTAGCCCCATATTTTCCTACCACAATCAAATGAGAGCCAAATATTTTCCTGACCTGATGGCAGCAGCCTGTGCCAGCGCTCTCCTGTGGAGCTCGATGGTGTCCAGCTGCTCCAGCAGCAGCTGCTTCTTGTTTTGCTTCTCCTCCAGGATGTGCTCCCGTTTCTCTTGCTGCTCTGTCTGCTGCGCCTCCCCCAGCAGGGCCAGACGCTCCTTCAGCTCCACCAGGGACATCTCCCCCAGCAGCTCATGGCCTGCAGTCTGACATGGCACAATCGATTCACAAGAAGTATGTGAAACTATCTCAAATGTTATGGCATCCATGCCTTCCTTCACCCACCTCTGTGTCGTCAAAAGTCCTCACTCTTATGTGAGGAAGCGATTGAATGGCGCGGATTTCACGGATGATTTCAAATTTTCTGCTGAGCTCTGCTTGTGCTTCCTCCAGTGCTTGACGAAGGAGCTCCCGTCTTTGCTCTGAGACTTCTTTCACTGTGAAGTGTAAGTGAAATTGATGAGAATGAAAAGGAAACCATGGAGAAGAGGTGAAATAAGGAGGCCTTACCTATACTTTGCTTGAATTTCTGTATTCTCTCTTTAGCTGCTTTTGAGTTCTTGTGTCCTTCTGCCACTTGTTGCACCAAGTCTCTTATTTCCTTTTCCTCCTGCATCCTTTTCTCCGCATATGACCGCATCAGCTGAGCTGTCTAAGAAACAATAAAAGCCACATTATCCATGCATAATTGTAAAGACCTTTCTTTAAAGGGTGTTTGCAGAGAACACATGACACGTTTCCAGTCTCGTTACAAACTTTAAAGCACTATGTTATCTTATGTAAATGAATGTTATTGTCATTTGTCAATGTATCTTTACCCACCTCTTCTTTCTTTAGCTGAGCAGCCTTCTGGTTGCGTTCCATTATGCGTGTGCGGGCCATAGCTGCCTCCTCATAACTGATGCGTCCCTCTAGGTGTCTGCGCTCAATCTTGGCCAGCTCCTCCTGAAGGTCCCTCTCACGCATCTCCTTCTGCCACTGGAGGAAAGACGAGGGCTCACGTGTCCCTTCCACCAGACGCTCCATTCTGTATACAAACACAAAGAAATGACTCAACATCTGGCAGATCCAGTCTTATTCCAAACTCAGTTTTATTCTAGCCATATATGGTATTTTTTCTGCTAAAATCCAGTCTTATTCTACCTTGTTTAGTCTAGTTAAGATTGATTGATTAAGGATAAAAATATTTTTTCCATAAGAGACCTGAGAACACATTCGTTATATAGAACATCTCAAGAAAATGTAAGCACAAGTATTTTCAAAATGATCAGTTATCATAAACATTATAATTTTAATGTTGCTCGCATTAAAATAGTTTTGCCTTCCATTCCAGTACTGTCTTATGCAGGATAGAATAGAATATATATTTATTGTCATGATACAAAGTACAACGACATTTCTTTGGCAACTCTCACTGCAGTAAAAAATAGATACAAATAAATAAATAAGAGTGGTAAAAGCAGAGGTAGTAGCGATGACAGTGCAATGAGATGAAATTAAATGTCAATGTGCATATTTAAACTTACAGTCTAAAAACGTTAAATGTACAAAACTGTATAAATGTAGTAACTGTGTGTTCATAAAGGGTTATAGTAACCAAAGGATGCAAGTAAAATAGCCATAAATATTTCTAAATTTCATTTCATTTCAAACCTTTATTTATCCAGGTTGTATCCCATTGAGATCATTGACCTCTTTTTCAAGGGAGACCTGCCTAAATGGTAGTGTTTGTAGTCTTTGAGGGGCGGAGGTGTGTTTATGAATGTTCACAGTTGTTGGATAGATACTGATCAGGTTAGAATACATAATGCCACAAACAAAGGTCAAGCAGTGGCAGTTGAAAGTGGTGCTGTACCTTTGCAGCTCCTCCTCCACCTGACGGTCGTACAGCGCCCCCTGCCTCAGGATGGCTGCACTGTTGAGCTTGATTGGCCAGCTGTTAGTCTAACAGAGTCAGAATTAGGATGTCTATATTAGTTGATATCCTTCACTATTAAACTGAAGACTGATCCACTGAAGTAAGTTATTACATTTCACCTTATTGCTGGAGGGATTTCCAGAGGAATGAAATGAATTGAATTTGAGTTTTGAATCCAAGCCCTCCTTAATCTGAGACATCGCTCTCTGCAATACAAATGATGGTTTGTCGGAAATGTGAATTTTGGACTTTTCTCAGTGTTTTATCTTTTTAAGTTAGCTTGGAAATGAATCAAAAAAATATTACTAAATCACAGTCAATAGCCCCTACCTTGGTGTGTTCAGACTTCTGGGGATTAACACACCTGAACTGTTTCATATTTGCCTCATAGAGCAGTTCCTTTGGTAAAAAAAATAAAAAAATAGATGTCATTAGAAAGGCATATAACAAAGCTACCATCAGTTATGATAATAATATGAGAGTAATAGTATCCATTAGTAAGTGTTTTGATGTGCTGGAATGTAATGGTTATTTGTGTTTTACTTAACGGTTGCATGTGATTTACATTAAGTATTTTTTTACACAGTTTCCTCCCATCTGGTGATAATAGTAAAAGCAGATATTTTACCTCAGTCTTTTGAAGGTTCTTTTGTTTGATCTCCTCGATCATCTGCATCTCCTTTGGAGCCTTGTATGTGCTATCTGGCACCTAAACAAACAGATTCTATGAGCGTCAACACAATGATAAAGTCTTGTCTATATGGTCTATAAAAGACAGCACAGAAACTAACTGTGGGACAATGTTTGGAAATATATTATTGTAAATGATACTGACTGGTTTAGATTTTTCCTGCAGAGGAATGACCTCAGGCACAGGCAGAGGTCGAGGTTTAGGTTTCGTGAGAGAGAACTCCAGAGGCTCAGTTGTTTTGATGTGAGCTTTCTTGACCTGAGTCCCATGAGATATTTTGACGGCAAGCTGGTCCAGGAGAATATCCATCTCAGGGCGCCATCTAAAGGACAAATAGTCTTTGATCCTTGACTTTAAAAAAAACATTGATTTCCTTCAAAAATATTTTCCTTCTCTTCTCACCTTAGCAGAGGCCCAACCCAGAGTTTCTCCACATAGGCAGCCTCGTAGATATTATTCCACTCGTCTTGTATCCACGTAGTGAGGTTTGTGAAAAAGAAAGTCAGGAACTATAGCCAAACACAAGACACACACTGTCACACAGGGCACAGTATTATGGTAATTTCCCTATGAAACAACAGTGATAAGAGTTTCTTACTGTGTGCATCTTCTTGACGTCCAGAGATTTAATAATGTTACTGAAGCGTTGAAGTCCAAGGTCATCAAGAGAAAAGGTGGCGAGGTAACAGATGACTGAAGAACACAATAGTATTATAAACATGTAAATGGAAATCTTGTTTTATCTAAAGTCCAATTTTGATAAGAATGTAGGAGTTTGTTTGGTTCATTAACTTACTGACAAGCTGGCTGCGATCACCTCTCGATAAGCATCTTCCATTCTGGCCATAGAAGACATTGACAACTACGTCCAGTAACTTTGTTTGTTCAATGCATCCAGAAACTACATCAAGTATGAACTTCTGATGCAGAGTATCCATGTTCTGAAACAAAAAACAACAAGCAGCCTCAGGGAACCAGTGATATGACTATTTGGTTTTAAAGACATATTGCTTTTACTGCACTACTACTCTAGTACTTTAATAACCTGCATTACTTTATAGATAAAGTTGCTACAAAATATAATCAACTACTAAATGACGAAGTATGCCCTAGAGATAACTCTAACCAACAGTCTATAAAAAGGCTGATAAAATGTGCTCTCATTTACAAGATGCAACATAAAATGAATCCAATAATTCATTATTCTAAACAGAGGTGGGAGAGGCACTGAGATCTTGTACTTAAGTAAAAGTAGAACTACCAACCAGAGTGTAGGAATACTCAGTCACAAGTAAAAGTCCTTCAATAAATAATGTTTATAAAGTAAAAGTTCAATATTCACCACTGAATTGTAGTGGAATAGAAGTACAAAGTAGCAAATACTCAAGAAAAGTACAAGTGATACCTCAAAATTGTACTTAAGTACAGTACTTGAGTAAATGTAATTAGTTATTTCCCACCTCTTATTCTACATGAGTACTTTTACTTTTGGTACTTTAAGGCTTTACTTTCGATACTTGTGTAAATGTGTGTTTGTACAATTTCCAATGTTTTACTGTAGTAAAAGTATATAGGCCAATTTACCTGCAGATCCTTTGAAGCTTCTTCCATGAAGTCATCCAAACACTGTCTTCCAGCTCTGAACCTATCGAGCAGCACAATGGCCTCCTTGGCAAGCGATCCATAGCTCGATGCCATTTTGTATCGATCTGCAGAAAGCCGGGGGAGATTGATAACTGTGGTGAAAAGATCTTTGCTCAGAGAAATGCTCCACAAAATACAGTATATATCCTCAATGGTCACGTGGGCTTCTCTGCTGTTTAAAGAGTAACATCTTAGTTCTACTTGAGACTGGTTAAAGTGTTGATAAAAGAAGATACATTCATAGAAAGTTTAACCAAATAAAATTCACGGCTTGTTTTCAGCGCACACAGTTGCCATGTTCAATCGTTGCCTAGCAACTCACTAGCGTAAACAGAAACGTATAGGCCTGCCTGAGTAATGCCTTACAAAAACAAGGATTAGCAACGTTAATGAAAATTAATGAGTTTTAAAAAAAGTATTATTAGTGGGCTGTTTTGTTCAACAGATTTACAATATACATGTAATGGTTTTAATCCATCGGATGCAGATTAACAGTGTGACATCCTGATCCTTTGTTGGCTGCCATAACAATTATTATGACGTAGCTTGTTGTGACGTTTGTGCGAGCCATGCGCCGCCTTCAAGTGCTGTTGGAAATGTTGAAACAAGCACATCAAGTGACAAATACAATAAGGAATGAGGAATTGCCTGCTGATAAAAGTAATCAGATTAAGGCAGCAGATTTGTGTATGATGATTACAAATAACTGTTGTTGGGAAAAGTGACTTCACATCAGGGTTTCTGAGGGGCTAGTGGCGAAAAGCTGATTACTGGACAAATCACATGGAAACTGAGGTTATTTAGCCTCACAATGCATCATCTGATTTCCTGCCGTAATCTGATTACCATAAATGGATTATCGTGAGCATGTAAACAAAGTCACTGGGTTGCCACTCTTTAGTCACATATCTGATAATAAATAAAGGAAAACATAAAATGTCCCTCTCCACTCAGAAATATCAAAAACACCATCATCTGCTGAAAAGGGGATTTTTTCTTTGTGTACATACAATAATGAGTGAAAGCAATTTTGGAATCCAATCATAAACTGAAATGAAAAGTACACGTTTAATGTAAGGGCTTTAAATCAGCAGAACAAAAGCACGGAGGATTGTGTCGTAATCAAACTTTTGAAATGTTTTTATAAATTCAGATTCACATAATCTTGATTTTGAATGAGGAAGAAGTTATAGGCCTATATTTTTTCTAAATAATAATAAAAATACTACTACTACTACTTCTACTACTAATAATAATAATGATAATTATTATTATTATTATAATAATAATATATTTATGTGGATCTTAAAAAAACAAAGGAAGCCTACAACATCATTCACAAAAACAATTGTAAAAATAGCCAAATTCAGATCTAGAACTGAAGATATAAACATTATAAATGAATGTATAAAGCAATAACAAACACCATTAGTTCGGAAAAAGCCCATCAAATAAAAGTTTAGAAGAGAAGAAGAGATTTAAAGCAAGAAATTGAGTTTGCTAGTTTGAGGTCCGCCTTTATGTTTTTTATAAACGTTATTTGGTAACTGAAACGAATCATTACTAAAAAGTCAATGATTTCCTTTTATAAAGAAACTGGATGGGGGAATTTAGAAAATAAAAAAAGTTCCACTGCAATTCTTACATTGTCTGTATTTGTACAGGACCAGGAGCGTATGGGAGCTCGGGGTTTGGGATCGGCCCTTGAAGGCATCACTTCCTGGGAAAGTGGGAGGTGAATGTTGTCAACGTGACTGTCATCCAGTAACGTTGAGAGGCTCAGAGCCGCCGGAGCTCCGTCTGTATCGTCGGGACTTGGAAAGTGGCCGGGCGGGGGAGACAGGCAGCCAACCTCGGGATTCAGGGAAGATGGAAATAAGTCGTTGCTTTATAATATCTCCTTTGTACGCGTTCAGAGCCGCGTTGTAACATTCAGGACAACTTACCGTGACTGTGTTTTTTTACATTTAACGTTTTGGAACCCAGCAGCGCGAAGCTAGCTTAGCAACCAGCTGCCGATAGTGTCAGACACTCAGGTACAGGAGAGGAGGGAGGGTGACAAAGGAAGGTGGCGAGGGAACGATGAACCGCTTTCGAAAGTGGCTGTATAAGCCCAAGGTAAGTTATCTTCGATTCACACGCTGTGTCAGCTCTGCAGTCAAGTCATTTTTTATGCATAGCTCTGGAGATAGCTAGCCGATCAGTGTGGCTGGTTAGCCTGATCACTTCATAAACTGCCACACATCTGCTAACGTTAGCCTGTGTCCCTGATGTTATTAACCAGCACATATCCCTTTGTTGTTGTTGATGATGCTTTTGTTAGTCGGGGATAACAATGTTACAGTATGACAATGCACACTGATTTACACTGATTGATTTACTGTTGCCTTCAGATGGCATTGTCATTATTGGTATGTTTTGTTGAAGTGATTTTCTTATGGGTTTATATTCCAAATTCATTGTAGAACCGTCTAATCAGTCATAGTCTAATAGCAACAATAAAAGCATGAATAATGAATGCATAATGACAAAAATGACTGAATGAATGAATAATAATAATAAATCACAAAAAATAAGAATTAAAAACCAATATACTTTATGATAAAAAGTAATACAAAAAAAACGTATAAAAATAGCATTTTAGGGCTGCTACTGATAATTACTTTCCTTCTTTTTTAAATCAACTGATTAATCTTTATGTGTAGAAAATAACAGAAAATAGTAAAATAAAATGCACATGTCAGTTTCTTCATGCTTGAGGAGAGTTGCTTTATGTCATACCGAAATATATTTAACTCACTATAGCATAAGACAAAGTAAAGCAGAAAAAACACCTCATAACTGGGAAGCTGAAACTTGAGAAATGGGGAATTGACTGATCAAAATAGTTATTTAATTACATGTTATATTTTATAGCTTTGTTGCATTTGATTGGGTTATGTTTGTTGATTGTAGACCCCACCTGAAACTGGATCAATTGTAGTTTAAAGCAAAACCTGTTAAATCAGCTGCTGCTCCGGCCCAGGACACACCGTTTGAAGGCACACTCATCACTTTAGGGGTGAGCTCCTAATGGATGTGCTGAGATTCTTTAAATCAAGCTCAGAGTGTGGAAACATGCCTGACACAGCAGAGGAAGTATTGAAGGCTTGATCGCCTTGTTAAACGAACAGTTTAATATATGCCAACTGCAGCACTTTTTCACTTTGAGTGAAAGTTAATATTCCTCCAGGGAGGGAATTTTTGTTAACTAATAGCTTTTAGGAGGCAAAATTGTAAAGCACTCAACTCAATGCGACAACTTGCACACACAAAGTGGTAAAGTTGTAACTTGTTTTGTAGTGCTGTACCATCATTAGTAGTTCTTAAACATTAATTAACACATATTTTGTGACCAAGTTGCATTGAGAAACCCCTATCTAGTTATTTTTCTAGTGAATTTTGATCTTTGGGTGTTGTAATTTCTAATGTGGGTTTAACACTCTATATATGCACTCATCACCCTGTCTCACTTACTCATGCTCTTATGCAAAGTTCTCGATTTACTGAGAAGAATGAGTATATATTACATTGAAATTCACTTGCGAAATGATGCATAACACTTGTACTACACAGTGTTCTAACGAAGCAGCTTCTGGTGGATGGGTAAACAAGTATATTATTATTATCAACTGCAATGCATTTATATAAAACAAACATTAGTAATAAAGAACATGGAATTCCCTCACTTTGTGTACTCAATTAAGAATCTTGACTTTTGATAAAGAGCCTGATGTTTTTTCCCTCGTTGACAGGCTTGAATAATGTGTTGGTGTGTTTTATACATGCCGTCCCTTCAGTACATTGTTATAAGAGCTGCACATAAACAAGTCCCGAAAGCAGAATTTCTGTTGATAGAAACCAAGGAGAATATACTGCAGACAGCCTCTTAAACAAGCTGGTAAATGTGGTGTATTGTTGTGTTTCTTGGTAAAGAAAGTAAACATTTTTACTTTACTTAAAAGATTTGTCAACATGTATTCCTAATAGGCAGTATTAGTTCATATGTCAGTCTCTCTGATAAAAGAAGACAGCTGCATTTCCATATCAAAGAATCACAGTAATTGGAAGTTTCTGCAACAGCAATGTCAGACAGGGATCAAATAAATTGCCTGTGATTATATATATATATATATATCATCCACCTGCTCTTTACCACATACACTCACCTGCGTCACTGCTCTTTTCTCTGTTTAACCATGTTTGCTGTCACAGCATTATGGCGCTCCATTGTTGGGTTTAGGCCTAAGTGTTGGGGTTCACCAGAGTATTGTCGCATTCATGAGTGACTTCTGACCCTGTGTGCTGAGCTATTACATCAGTGCCTTTTCTGCCAAAACACAGCTATGGAAGGTATTAACAGAATTACACATAAATCTGTGGGTTTAAAATGATCGGTTCTGCCTCAAAGTAGTGAGGAGAACAGCACTAAAAGGCTTAGTAATTACAACAATCAGTATGAAAAGACAACAGTAACGAAAGGACGGCTCAGATCGCGTTATGCTCCTTTTGTTAACCGGCAGCTAAGCTAGCAAGTAGTTTGAGAGAAAATATTTCTTCGGTAATTAAAATCTGTGCCCACATCTTCTGGCATTTAGGGTTTAACACTGCATAGCATTGTCATTTTGCATCAACAGTAAGCAGTTTAATATTGAACTATGTTCTCCTGGAGACAGAAAAGTGTCGATTCAGCATGTTCCCTTGACTGAAGCAGAGCTATTGATATTTGCAGAGCTGCTCTTTACTTCCCCAGATAAGTCCCACTGTGGAGGACTTTCTTTTGCCCCGGCTGCTACACAATCCCTTCCAAGGGTGTGCAGCTCTGTGCGGGACATACTGTACCTGCCTATTCTCCCTGAATCTGCCATCAAAGTGCCCCTTTCTGTAAAAAGTGAAATGTATGGGAATGGTTTGTCTTGCTCTCCTGTAAGGGTGTGTGGGGAATGGCTTTCCTCTTAGTAAAGATATTTTCCAAATTCCTGCAAGGCCTTTAAACTGGTTCAACATGTTGTTATGTACATAGTTCACATTTTCCCCCCCAAATATCTACAAAGGAGATCTTACTACTGTGTATTTAGTGCACTTTTATTTGACTGCTCACGAGTTGAACTTTGACCGTACATTCAGCAGGGGAAAGTTCCAGAAGGGTGAAACCAGGGTAGAAGTATCCATAACAATCCGCTTCAGCACA